GAACTTTAAATTTTTAAAATGGTAAATGGATATTTTGAAAAGGCTATTATTGTTCAATTTGGGGTATTTTCAATAATTTCTCGGTGCCGAGTGCCTTTTTTATTTTTTTTCCCTAATCTGTGTTTTTGGTCACTCATCCTCAACCTCTAACAAAATAGCTGATCTTGCCCTCGATAATAGTTTTTGTCCAAACTTATTGTTAATATGGCTTGAAAGTTGAAATGTCAATTTTGCTCTTAAATGTAAACAAGAAAAAAAAAAAACACAAAAAGAAATAAAAAAGAAAAAGAAAAAATAGGATATTGATCATCTTTATTATCCTAATCTAGTGGATGTATTTCCGGATCACCCTTGCACATCCCCAGTTCCCCACTATTTTCCCACGACAACTCCCACCGCCACTGGCGTGTTAAAAATAGTGGCAGTGAGTCATATGTATCTTCGAATTTTTATTCTTTCAAGGGTGGTTTTTTTATATTTTTTTCAAATTCCCCACGAGCCATTTGAATTTGTATTCTTTTTGGGCGAATTTTCTTGTCGAAACTTCTTAAATCTTATCTAAATCAACATATCCTTTTAAAGTTTAATTTTCAATATTTAATTTTAGTTATTTTTCCAATGATTTGTTTGTTATTTTTGAATTTTTTACAAAAAAGAACAAACTTCAAACCTTCAATCTTTAGTGTTCTATGTTGTTCCCTTTTCTCAGATCGAGTCCCCTCAGGGCCATTGAGGTGAGTACCCGACCGTAAATTTCAGGGCCCCGTGGAATTAGTCGAGGTGCGCGCAAGTTGGCCCGAATATCCACAGTTATCGAAAAAAAAAATGTTGTTCCCTTTTCTAGCATTGATTCATTTAGTGCTCCTAATTATTATTATTTCTTCCTCTCATTAAACTCTGAAATATACTCATTCCATGGGAGTTTACTCGATCCTTCTATGAAAAAATATCTTCGTAGCATAACTTGTAGATTTTGTAATATCAAATCATTTTGATTTAACGGTAAAACAAAATTCGAAGAGACTACTGAAAGAACTTGGTCAGCAATGTGGGTGACAGGTTGAGGGTGTACTGGAGGTTGGAGATTAAATGAATTTCTCTCTCTTTTTCAGTTATTTTCACATTTTTTACTCTTTTTTTGTTTATATAATCTAAGGACAAAAATGGCATTTCAAGCTATACTAATGGTAAGTTTGGATGGAAACTATTACGAAGGACAATGGATGCTAATTTGTCAAGGTTGACGATGTGAATGACAAGAAATAAAAGTTGGGATATAAGTGCAAAAAAGGTAAAGATTGGGGCCAACCGGCGCAATTTACCCTTTCGAAAAATCTCGTGTTACTGTCCATAAGCTTATCCTTGAGAGGTTATTGTGTCACTTTAAAACAAAAATCAACATTTCAATTTTTATTACCCAAGTGTTGTGCTACCTTTGTTATTTTTCATTAAATAATAACTTATTACGCGTAGGAAATGGTGTTATTTTTGTTGGAAAATATTGAATGAAAACATTCAGTTCAGTTTCACCGTCTGAATTTTTTTGAATTTCATCAATTTCATCTCTTCAATGCTGTAACACCTTATTCAGTTTCACCGTCTGAATTCGTTTGAATTGCATCAGTTTCATCTCTTCAATGCTGTAACTCCTTATTCAATGCATTAAAGAGCTGGTTCCTCCTCTATAGGTATAACTAGGAGTGATCTCTCAGTTGAAAAAACCAAGGAAAAACAAAACCCTTCATTCCAGCATCAACCTTCCTCTTTCCAATTTAAACTTTTCTTTTGATTCTTTTGAAGAGATAGAGTATATCACAGCTAGTTCGTAGGCGGTTTACGTAGTGCAGCGTGAACCAACAACCG